CTAAAGGAGAAGGCAGAGCAAAATCCCAAATTAGTATATTGCCCAGGCCAAAGTCTGAGGAAATGTCCTGGGCAGCAGAGCCACCTGATATTCAAGGGCTGTGTGGGATGAATGAAACAGCTGTGTATATATATACACACTAAACACAAAGATGAAGGCTCCTCTGTGATGACTGCTCCAACTTCTGGCCAACCACTATGATGACGTCTAAAAAACTGGCTACGGCTCCCTTCCGTGTTAACTATAAGACCCCTTTCTTTTAGGTTTGGCTCTCTTCCCATCTAAATCCTTAGTTCACCTCTACTAACACTTGCTACATCTACATTTTTCCCCCTTCTAATACCAATACCACCACGATCAGACACAAATCTATCATTCTGGGCAGAAGCATCCTTCTTGTACATAAAAGTTACAAGGGAACTACAAGAACCTTGTATTATATTCAAAGAAATGTAATGAAGAAGAAGAGGATTCTCTTTCCTGCTCCATCACAGACCAGAGAGAGTGAGTCAAGACTCTGTAACCTCTCCATACATTCGCTTTCGCCCACTGTTACCAGTTAGTTCTTCAGTGCACCCAGTAGGCAAACTATCGACTTTAGCTCCCTGGAGGGCAGGGACCTTGGCTTGCTTATGCTCTGGTATACTCTAAGTGCCCCAAATGGTGTCGAATATATAGCAGGTGCTCGATAAACACATGAAATTCATGAGTCTGAATGACACCCAATTTGACTTTGAGAAACTAAGAATACCAAAACTGGATAAATAATAAGGAATTTTATTTACGCACAGCGCATTCCAGTTGATGGAGATCCTTCTATCTCATTTGCTCTGCAGCAGCTCTGGGGAGTCGGAAAAGTGGAGGGAACTAAAAACCTAGACCCTAGCAAGACTAATGCCTGTGTGATCGGTGCTTTGCAAGAGGTGAAAAAGTGCAAATGAGGTTGCCTCTGATTTGAACTTTGAGATAAACACATCATGAATCAAAACACAACAAACACAGAAGAGCACCTGCACCGGTCAGATCCTAAAGACCCCAGGAGGAGGTGTAACCTCAGGGGGCCAACTTTTAAGGATTGTACAGTAGTTCTTTTGGCAAGACCATCCCCCCCATTGTGAAATGCTGTTATCAAGTGATCTTTTGGTGCCATTCACCCTTCTATTCTTTATCCTTCTTGGTTTTGATTATTTTCTAGCAAAACCAACTTCTAACTGATCTCTCCAACCAGCTCACGGTATGTGCGTGGTGGTTGTCTCACAATTAAAATATATTTTTTAAAGTGCTGATATAGATGGATATTTAAAAGTCTTTCCACTGTGTCCCCTGCATTTGTTTTACTTTAAGCATGCAGGTTGTGTGGCTTAAGGTGGTCTTATGACCCCCCAGTGGACTGTCAGCCCAGCACTCTGGTATGTATTGGCTTCACCACCATGCAAAATATTCGGAGAAGTTTTTAGCAGTCATTCTAACTTTGCTACAAAATAACTTTGCTACAAAATAAAGGGACTCGCAGAGTTTCAAATGCTGGAAGCCTACCAACTCAAGAACTCTAATTTAAAACTTTTAGAAAGAGTTCGGTACTATGTTTTTATTTCTTTACCATTCGGAAATTATGGCTCAGTGAAGGGAGGAAAATAAAACCCAGAAAAACCTTAAGATCTCAAATGCTGGCCAAGGAGAGGTGTTTGAAGTGACCATTGAAAAAATCTATGGTAATATCATAAATAAAAATAAATTTAAAACTAATAATCAGTACTAGAGCACATTTTTTTCCACCCTAATTTAACCAGGAGACTAACTCAAAAGATGTTTAATTCTGATCAGAGGTTTCATTACCATAACTTGAGTCCTTTCTTTCTCACGATTAATTCGATCACATTACATGAACAAATAACCCTGCAGAGACGTGAACAAACGTGGGCCTGGCCCGGCCTTGAGAGGACTGAGGTCTGACATGGCTCTCAGAATGCAGTTTACATCCTTGAGGTTTAGCCATTTTTAGAATAATGCCAGCTGGATCCTGGAACAAACTCAGCAAAGAAGTGAAATTACTAAATTACATCAGAAAATCCCAATTATAGAACAGAGACTCAGATCCAAAACAATATTTTAAGGAAATTAAGTATCTAATCTAAGTCAAGTGGCTTCTTTGAGAAAGGCCCTGGTGTGAGGGTATTTTTTTTCTGGCAGAGGCACGCTTTGGCAGGCACAACAGTGGTAACTGCCCGGCACTCAGTGCCGCCGTCGGATTGAAATCAGATGTAGGCACCCGTCTCAATTTAAGCTGATTAAACACACAGACTAAACCAGGTAATTACAGATGCATGTGTCGGAGGGTGGAAAGACGAGACAGAATGGGGACTTCTTTAATTTTTAAAGTGTTTTCAAAGATGGGAACAATTTTACAAATAAAAAAAGTGGAATTATGCCAAATATAGAAACAGATGTTTTGGATCGCGAGGCTGCTGGGAATTGAGCATTCTTGCCTAGCATGGCCTGATTCTGACCCAGAATTCGAGGGCTCTGGCTAATTTACCTCTAGTCCCATTCCCAAGCTGTTTGATCAAATTCATTTACCACCCACAGCTGGGACAAAAACAACCTTCAGCTGTAAGAAAGTACTACAAAGAGCAATTCAAATGACCTGGTGGGGAAAAAAACCTGCATATTTTTATTCCTCTTGACATGGCATTGCTGTGATTGTATAGGGAACTTTAGCATAAGTATTTAACTAACAAAAAACTCCAAAGTGCACATTCCTGTTTTAAACCTCATTAGAAAGCAGACAAAAACTATTTATATTAATATGTTTCCCTTGGATGGCTTTACTGAGTCTCCTGTTGGCTACTCTGTACCTGTGAGACTGATGACTGACCAATGGCACTCAGCCCCTAACCATCCATCCCACTTGTGGAACAGCGAAATGTATAGAATCATGTGAGCGCTCTAATCTGAATCACTGTAAGTTTCTAAGCTTTCTGCTGTTCACAAAGGTGGAAACTAACAATTGTGTGTGATGACCCATGGTACAGCCACAAAGGGTAGGTAGGGATAAATGTGGCCAATGATTTAATGTAATTTGACATTTTGAATTTGTACTGTCTATATTCAGGCTAGCAATTCCTAATGTTGCTCTGTAGTTTTGTTTGTTGCCTATTTTATTATTTTTTAAATAACCGAACTTCCTTTTCAGTCCCCGAAGGATTGGGGCTGGTGACTAAATTACTGTAATACTGTAAAACAGTGATGTTCAGTGGTGTGCTGCAAGCATTTCTAAAACATGCAATACCTAACTATTTAGTCAGGGGCACTGACGACTTTTCCCTTAAACTGTCAAATTAAAAAATGACAACAGCCAACGCAACAACAGGCTTGTGGTGTGAATGAATCAAAATTACATCTGTTTTTCTTTCTTTTTAGTCAGATCAGCATAAAATAATCATCTACTTTGGAGTGCTGCAGAATTTTAGTAATGAATTGATGTGTACCAAGAGATTAAAAAAGGGTGAAAGTTGCTGGTGTAGAAGGCTCAAGAATACTATGTCATAGTAAATTTCATTCTCAAATCTGATGGTGCTTTATAGTCTTCCCTTATTTGAGATAATATATTCCCTTTTCAGCATGCAAATATTTTATTCCCTATCAGAAAATAGGGAATTAGTTCATTGACCAAAGGTAGGCTATGACTCAGATGAAGAATATGAGGCTGAACACTAGTGCTCCCCCCTTTGCTAAATGTACTAATTCTGCAGATAGAAATGGAAATGATGGATGGAAGCTTTCTAATGCCCAAGTTGCATGTCAAAGCTTATTAATACTCTGTTTCATATCAGCAATTCTCTTCATCCCTAAGAACAAAAGCTATTTCTTTCCTCTTGTTATTTTAGACATAGAGTGAATGGTCTCTCTGCCCTCTGGGCAAAAATAGTATCTTTTCTGGTTCTTATTGTTAAAAATTCATTCTCCAAGAAACAAAACGCTTCTTTCCTGAATTACTTTGTTTCTCCAGTTCTTACATACCTGTAATTCTCCAGAAAAAAACCTCTCATATGTAAAAGATGCTCGATAAATTTAGTCAAATGTTTATAATTACAATTCCCCAAATTAAAAGAACTCTACAGAAGGTAACACCATTATAATTCACACTAAATACCACATCTTACATTGCTCTTGGCAATTTTAAACCACTCTCAAATACATTTTGCAGCTTAGGAAAGTGATATCCCCCTAAAATCTGAGGATCAGAGAATGAATAACTTCCCTAAAATCTCAAAGACATGACATTACATAGGCAAGGTTGGATTGGCCCAGTCTTTGGACTATGAACCAAATACTTTAGAAAAATGCCACACTTTGTCAATTTCAGATCTCTCTTAGGGCCCGTTTAGGTGGGAATAAAGTTAGAAAGGTGTTAAACTCCTGAAAGAGCACAGAGGTTGGGCCAGGAATTTGGAGCACCAAAGACAAGGAATCCTGGTGTGTACTGGAAATGGTTTGCAATTTTGACCAGCTTCTGAGTCAGCCCGTGTTGGGTTTCACTTCCAGGTACATCACTTAGTGGATTTAGAACTACAGGCAAGTTACTTAACCTCTTACTGACAGAAGCTGGAGAGCAGGAGTAATAACTGCAGGGCTATTCAGGATTATATGAGCGCTAAGCACAGGGCCTGATGTTCATTTCAGTGAGTCCTGAACAAATGGCAGAAACTAACAAGACACCTCCTCCTTTCGGCGCTGGCTGAAAGAAAACGAGACTACATCCAACCTCTACACAGTACGACCTGTAGCATTAGAGCCTGTGGCTCCTGTGCCTCCCTGCACAGGCAGCTGCACAGAGACAACATGAGCTGAGTTCCCCTTACACTTTATTAGTGACCAACTGCTTTTTCTCCATCCGCATCGTTCTCAGAGTCTCTACAGATTCACCACTACTGGACCATTTCCCTATCCCTCCTTTTTCAACTCCCCTTGTTGAAATTCCCTCAAATTTTGGGTTTCCA